AAATAATTTTATGCATTTATACAGTATTAACCAATCAGGTATCATAAAATTAACTGTCTAAATACATGTTACTATTATTTTTTTTTAACATTATTGCATTTAGGCAGTATAAACTGTATATAGCCAAAATAAATATTATTAGTTATTTTGTGAAAGACAATCTAGTAAGTTGTAAAATCTAGTAATTTGTTTATTCGGTTATTTAAAGTCACTTAGAATCTAGATCTAGTAATTTGTTTATTTGGTTATTTAAAAAATCATTTAAAAGTTATTTAAAAACGCATTCAAATACAAATCACAAAAATTTAATACGATTTTATTTTAGTATTATCTTAAGCATTATTCACCTTTTGATAAATATATTTTTAATATACATGATTATTACTGAGAATATTATAAAAATACGAATAATTTACTTTTATACTACTGTACTAGCAATATTTTTAATAGATAAATACAGTATGTATGTTGATATTATTAATGCTAATAAAAAGAAATATACTGTATTTAAAAAGATTTGATTGCAGTGTATTTATTTCTTATAATCGAACAAAAAAGAAAGTATGAAAATCGAGACGATTTCCTTATTAGGTAACCTTTCTCATGATAAATTTCTCATTCCCATATCCCATAATTCTTTATGTTTACGTTTGTTTAAATAAAAGTATCCAAATTGGATATGTTTAATTTTAATTAAGGTAAGTTGATTAAATTTCTTTAAACCCTAATTATCGGTATATATTATTAAATAAATAATACAATATTACAATACTGTATATACATGTACTGTATATATACTGTATATGCTGTATATACATACTGATCTACAATTATATATCTATATACATTCTTAATGAATATATTTTCTACATAAAGGTTTTATATTAATTGTAAGTACGTATAGATTCTACATTTACGTGCGTAGTGTTAGTTATTTTCCAATTATGATCATGTTTCTAGTCTTGTCAAAAAGCGCATATATAGTATATAATTTATAATGATGTACATCATCTGATTACCCCACGACCAATAAGAACTGCAGAAAAGCTGAAAAGATATATCGATACTGTAATAGAAATATTTAATTATTTACTGTATATAAATAATTCTTTTAAACAAAATCATATATTTGATATCAATGACAATACTATTTTAAAAAATCGAGTTTAAAATAAAATAAATAAATACGACGTTCTTATTACATAATTTAAAAAGAAGTGGTAGTGATAAACAGAGCAATATTCTTAACGTTAATGAATAGAACTTTATTAAATCATAAATAGATATTCTTTAATAAATCATACTTTAAAAGATTTTCAAAAGTTAAATAAATAAAGATTTTTAATTCATCCGTGATATTTCAAAAAAAAAAATGACGATAATAGAATCCTCATGACATTTTAATGATACGTGACTAGAATAATCATTTAGTCTATTATATATGTATAAAAGATAAATCAGTTCAGTCTTCTTTTTTATTTTTATCTTTTTTTTTTTTGCGATCCGTTCAACTTTTCTTGTAACGTTTATAACTACAAACATCGCAAAATGGAGAAAACACTACATTTGGACTCGGATGTAGAAATTGTAACGTTTAATAATCTCCCAATTAGTTTATAATAAGTTTTGCAATTAATTTTAGGATTCTTGTTTTATAATTAACTTTACGATTCACTCTTACTATTCACTCTTATAATTTCTCTTTATAATTTCTCTTTATAATTTCTCTTTATAATTTCTCTTTATAATTTCTCTTTATAATTTCTCTTATAATTTCTCTTATAATTTCTCTTATAATTTTTTATCACAGAATGAACATTATAATCAAAAAAAATTGAAAGAAAAGAAAAGCCGTCGAACTAAAAAATCAAAGATTAAAGGCAAGGTAATAAATAATAATAAAATAATATAAAAGAATACGTTAAATAAATTCTTTGGCAACCAAATTTTCAATAAAATTCAATAAAATTCAATAAAATAGGTACCATTAAAGTTTGATCATCATTCATCAACACCTACATGCTTCGACATTTTAAAAAATCCGAAAAAACGTACAGAGATTGAGGATGCAGACGACGATAGTCAAGATAGTCAAGATGATGATTCCCATCAGGACAAAAAAACAAAACAAGAAATTACCATGCAAAAGAAGAAACCACAATCATGGACAAGAGAAGAGGATGCAATGTTACTTGAATTGGTTCATAAGCATGGGTTTAAAGCTAGCCTTATTAGAGAAGAAATGGGAAGGAAACGTGGGTTATCTTCTTATACTTCACGATGGGAAGTACTAAAGAAAAAAGCTTTGGTTTGATTTGATTAAAATTTCGATAAATTTGATAAAATTCCTAGTCTTGTTAATTTTGTTAATCTTGTCAATCTTGTAAAATGCTGCAAGAAAATAGCTTAATAAATTTCAAATTTGCTTTCTTTAAAAAATTTCAACTTTACTGTAACGATCTGTAGTGTTAATTACCCAGGTGCTATGACTTATTCGGAAAACACTTTTTATTGAAGTAACAAGAAAAAAAAACAATGTTTTTAAACAAAACTTTCTTTTTTTTCTTCAAAAATTTCCACTAATC